TAAAAAATCTGGCCCATGTGATCTGCATGGGTCTAAATGTGTATATTCTTTCAGACAGGTTAATTCTGAGCAACCTTTAGATTTAATAGAGATTTTAGTAATAAGGGAGGATCACTATCCAGTAACCACCCTTCTGTGTGCACTGGACTGGTGGATTATCTTTGTGTTTTTAAATTCTCATACTTCCCCTATTCATGCCCCTCAGTAATTCTAGCAAGTCTGCCTATGAACCAGATTTGTCATGATTGGAGGGGCTGCTTCCTAAATTAGGTGTGGTAGACTTGAAGTACATTTTTTTCTAAGGAAAAAAAAAAAAAAAAAAGAACATCATAGTGATCCTTAATTCTAAGGATTTAAGGATTCTAATGTATTTTGTTCTAAAATTGTTAGAAGCTGAGATATCAATAAGATTGTTTATTTCTTTTGAAAAATATTATTTATGATAATGGATAGATTATGTTGTCCTATATGATTTTATTGAACAAAGAAAAGAGAAATTACTTGATTTTAAGTGACTACTTTACCCAAAAGGAATTTTAGAATTCCTTCTAAATCTTTTGAAATTTAGTCCTACTTCATAAAGCCAAACCAGAGAAATGTCATGTCTAATATTCAATACATTTTATAAAGAAGATTACTTGACTATGAGATAATGTGGTCAGGTTCACATCAATAGTAAATATGTTTTCAGGCTGTTGGCTTATTAAAAGCTCTCACTAATTATTAATATTCATTTTGGATACTAGTAGACATTAACTTAGTGAGGAAGTAAGATTAGAAAGTAGAGAGTTTTGGGGAGCAGTACAGGGTCTAACATGTCTTGAATGTGATTGTATTCTCTACTTGATGAATCTGTCACATGTAGTTCTCCACATTTTGCTATTAAAAATAACATTTATTGAATGTTTACTTTATTCCAGCCTGTTCTCAGGACTTTACATATATTAAATATCCATGTGGTTGTTACTGCCATTCATTTTCTGTTAGGAATGAGAGACCCAAGGATTGTCCAGGATTATAGGCCTAAGTGTGGAGCATAACTCAGTCCTTGTACTCTTTGTTCCTGTTGAATTATAGGTGGTTTTCCTAATGGCGGGTGGAATGTTCTAAATTTTAAAGAGACAGTTAAATTTATGACAGCTATTTTGATCAGTGAAGGCTTTATCTTTTTAAATGTGTTCTTTCTTAGGAAATTAGTTACCTTATAGATTCTGTCTCAAGGAGCATACTTATGATATCACCAGCACAACTAGACATGAAGCCTGAAATATGCTTCTCTTTGCTCATGATATAGTGGAACATTTTTTAGTTGTTTTTTTTTTAAATATATTTTATTGATTTTTTTACAGAGAGGAAGGGAGAGAGATAGAGAGCTAGAAACATCAACCAGCTGCCTCCTGCACACCCCCAACCGGGGATGTGCCTGCAACCAATGTACATGTCCTTGACCGAAATCGAACCTGACGTTCTACCACTGAGCCAAACCGGCTTCAGCAACATTTTTTAGTTTTAAATTATTCTCCTAATATAGAAGATTTGTAATGTAGTAGAGGAGGTATTTATTGGTGGATGCTCCTTATGTGATGGGACACTATATTTTGGGTCCTAGTGATGTGATAAGGAGGAAACATGGACTCCTAAGTGGATGCATGTTCATTCTTGCTGACTTTATAAGTTCCAACTTTGGGTCACCATAAAGGTTAAGTCACAACAAAGCATGCACCATGCTTCTGTACTTTCCTTACCCATAACTTTTTCAAGGATTGACATGAATAAGTCTGTCTTCTCTAAAACCTCTTTGGAGATACTATCTGACAGGTTTCCTTATTGTTCCTGTAGCTCAACTACAGTCAACTCCTAAGGCCAGGGCAGTTTCTGCCCCATTGCTGCCCAGGCATAGCATCCTGTCCTGGGGATGTAAAATCTTGCCTTCCTTTTTCCTCTGTTTTATAAATAATTCATAGACTTTTGCACTTAAGTGTCTCTCTCCCCAAATAAACTATAGTGTGCTTCCTTTATCAGTTGAAAGAAGTGTCTTCCCCACCGAATAGGCCAGTTTGCTTCTTGGATCAGTTGAAAGCTGTTGGCTTTGTTCTTTGCCATGACTACCAGGAAGATCAAAGCCAAATTAGTGTATACTAGAAATAACTATTTCATTGTTCTACTAGGGCTTTTTTGGTGAGTTATCAAAACCTTTAGGATCTGATGAAATCTCTAGATCTACACAATGTTTGCATTATTATTTTAAAAGGTTCTTCCTGTGAAACATATCCTGCACTCTTAGAGTTAAGAATCCCTGCTTTTTAATCTTTTTACATTCTTATTTCAACCATTCTGTACTTATGAAAGTATTACGTTAAGTTTACTTGGCTTTATAGAAGTAGGTTATATGTAAATAATACATTGTTTTTAGAAGTTTTAGTGGGTGAGCAGTTGTACTATGTGTTTGGCAGCTCAGGCCATTGAAAATGTTTTTATCATACAAGGAGCTTTTGGTTCACATGATGATGAAACATATGGGCTAATATAAATGGCTCTAGTGTTTTTGTCTGACTATTTTTCAGAAAAATAAAAAAAAAAAACACCTTGAGGTTGTATGTGGTTTGTTGTTGTTGTTGTTGTTATTTGTTTTTTGTTTTTGTTTTTACTGAACACCATTGTGAATGGGTATTTGGTAAAGTTGTGACATTTTTACATCTCTGCATTATGGTGCTTGGTAACGTCTCTGAATGCAAGTTGTAAAAAAGCCTTGGGTATTGTTTCTGGGGCTACACTAATATAGTCCCCAAGTATGGGAAGATCCTTTCTCTTTGGATGGTGATGGAACCATTGGCCCCTGCTGTCAGGGTTGTTCACAGGTCTTCTTTCATGTTGGGTTTCTAGTGGCAGCTCTGAGTTGGAGACCATGGGCTAGGCTATGCTCTTGGGCCTCCATGTACAAAGGGATGGTAGTATATTCAGTTTGTGGACGCTATATTCGCCTTTGGAGATCGCTTGCTCTTTAATGTTTCCTTCAGATAGGGGACTCAGCATCTGTCTGTGAAAAGTGTTCCCAAAACAGTGGATCTTACAGAGGAACTCATGCTAACAAAAGATGTTTGCAATAGTTATACGATTTTCACCTCTTTTCCCCTTCTCTCTTTATGAAATACAATTTGTGGTACCTTTTGTCTCTCTAAGGAAGACTTGAGCACCCAGCTGGTTAGATATATTTAAAGAAAGAAAAAAATGTATTTAAACAGACCTTGAGAAAATCTATTATAAATTTGAATGTGAATCTGAGAATGATGTGGTATTCAGGCAAAACTAATTAAAATAACTGATAAGGAAATCAGATGTAGCTTTACATGGAATTTTCAAGGTTAAAATGTATGAGAATTATGTTAATAAACTGTTCTTTTTAATTCCAAAAAGTATAAGAATTTGTTCCTTTGTACAATTTGAAGCCACCATCACCTATGCCCTCTAGTACATACTGATGAGTTTGACAGTAAAATATTGTGCTGTGCTTCCTGCCTCTGCCCTAGTTACTGCTGAGATTGGTGGGATGAGAGCTCTTAGCCTCTCTGATTCCCATTTCCCTGGGTGTTAGGACTGGGGGTAGCCTTGTTTCTTTCTGCCTATCTGGTCTTGCTGCAGAGCTCTAGGCCTGGAGAAGCAGTAAGTGCATCCTGGTAAGCCTGGCAGACTCCTACAGTCAACTCCTTAAGGCCAGGGCAGTTTCTGCTCCCATTGCTGCCCAGGCATAGCATCCTGTCCTGGGGATGTAAAAGCTTGCCTTCCTTTTTCCTATCCATGCTAAGGTAGAGTAGCTCATGTAGGGATCCTAGAGAATGCAGTATGTTTAGTATCTGTGGTCCTTGCTCTCAGGAGTGTTGTGGAAGGTGCTGCTGGGGTGAACCCCAAAGGTAGAGGGCAGGTTGCTGTTTGCTGAGGATAGGCAGTTGAGTGCCTTTTTTGAAGCTCCCCAGGCTGTGGCAGCAGTCTGTTGTTAAGGAGGTTGGGGAACGTAGGCAGTTGCTTGTCCACTTGCTGAGGCTTGTGACAGAGCAACTTCTTATTGCATGACTTACTTATTGGCATGGTGGCTTTTTAGTAAGCCCCCCCCCCCCCCCCCCCCCCACCTTTACTTTCTTTTTAGCCTGGTTTTGCCTGTCTCTGAATGAAGACAGACAGGTGATGATTAGCTGCCCTTTTTTCAGCTGGCATATTTGGCATTATAGAGAACATTATACAAAACAACTGTTCGTTTAAGGTTTCTATATCTGTCACAAAAGGTTTTTCAGGTTCCACATGTCAAAAATGATAGGTTATCAAGGAAAAGCTTAAAAAAACAAAAAAAAGACATTCATTTTGTCCAGTATACACAATTTTAATAACAAAACTTTTTTTATATAGTACACTCTGTTAACTATCTCCCTCAATCCCCGCCCCCCATATAATAGTATTTTCTCCCCCAACCCACTTGCCCCCCCCTCCCCAAAATGGCTCTTAAGGTGATAAAACACAATGTGTTTGGACTGTACTTTTGGTTTCCAATCTGTGTTGATAGAAAGGTTCAACAAACATTCCATAGGTGAAACTTTTTTAAAAAATTACCAAGGAAGGATAGGTTAGTTGAAGGAAGCAGATGTTTCCAAATGTTTGCAATAATAGTATGAAAGCTTAAACCATCATTTTCTATTTGTTTGTTTTTGCCTTAAATTGTTGGCCTTATCACTCTTGTCTTTTTCTAGTTGAAGCACTTTATAAGATACGAAAAGCATGTCTCAAAACAGATTTTTGAGACAAGTCTGAACTGTATTGCTCTATTAGGAAAATGATCATGTAAGTCAGCTTCTAAAATTATTCTTTCAAATTTTATATTGATAGCTACACCTTCGAGGGATAATAGAGCATTTATAGCCCTCCCCTCCTCCCCGACTCTGTAGGAAGTATAGAAAATGAAATGTCTTTTTTAGGACTCAGACCTGGTGTTACATGGGGCTCATTTTTATTGGAAAGATGGAATCTCGCTCTTGGTGACTAGCATCAGAAGAAGCAGATGGATTTTAATAATTAGTGGAGTTGGGAAATTCAGTCAATTCCATTCATTAAATTGGTACAGAAATTAACTTAGGCACATTAAGAAATTACATGTGTTAGTGCAGATTTTTTGCTTAAAAATTAGTAACTTTGCTATTTGATTTTGGCAGTGGGTATTCTCTCTCAATTGTGTGTGAATTTGCAAATTTGTCAGCCCATTCTTATTTTATAAAGGGGATTGAAATCCCTGGCAAACTACAGAAATGAATATAAATGATCCCAAACTAACTCTTGATTACTAGGTGTATATAACATTCTTTAGCTTTTCTTTTTCCAGAGATTTAATTATTTTTCTAGTGTTTGATAAATGGTCATTTCCCTCTAATCTTGAAAATGGGAGAGGGAAAAATGCAGTTGGTGAGAAGAGGAGGCTGAGGAGGATAAAACTAAACCAAAAAACAAAAGCCCTAACATTGGGTTAGCAGGATCTGCAGTGTAGCTGCGATGCTCTTCCACTCTAGCCAGTTGGTAAACAGAGCACATATGACTAACAGTCTCATCTTCAAATCTGTGCTGATACTGAAACACAAAAAGACCGAAAATTAAATGGAATACTGCCTTTAATAGGCAATTCAAAAGGGAAGTTTGTGCTTTAATGAAAAGGGGACATGCTGGTTGGCATTCTTACTTTTCTCAGAGCATTACAAAAAAATAAATAAATAAATAAATAAAAATAAAAAAAATATATATGTAGGGCAAAAAATCAGTTATTTTTCATCTTGAAAGTATGCTGGGGTGGCCTTGGTTCTGCTGTTCCCTGAATTACTAAATGGCTTGCTTTTCCAATTTATTTTCTACATACATTTCTACATTTGCTGATTAATGGTCCATTTTACTAACTGTAATCTTTAGGATTAATGTGGGAATTCCCAGCCAATATTTCTCACCCTTCTACTCACAATTTCAATTAATTTGGTGTGGTGGAAATGATAGAAAATAATTTTTTGCTAGTCTTCAGGGCTAATGGAATCTTATGTGCTCAGGACAGAATATTGTGACAAAGCTTTTCTCTGACAAATGGCCATGGTTTGCCTGATGAATGATTGGTAAATTTTACCTTGTGGAGCTCTCATTTGTAATGGGGGTTTCAGATCCAGCTCTGTAGGGAAGTGGTGAGCTGTGCTCTGTGCCATAAAATCAGCTTTTGTCTCTGTCCAGGCAGGCCTAAGATCTGGTTTAACAAGAAATGAAATGCTCACTGCTCAAGATCACCTGAACTTTACAGACCGAGACTTTGCCAAACTAATTTACCCACCTTAAGAAATGCAGAGAATACATTTTTACCATAATATGTGATCTTATTAGCATTTTACTGAGACATGTTTTTGTGTGTTTTTTTTTTGAAATGTATACAGACACCCCTCTCTTAGTATTAAAAAGAAAAAAAATACAATTAAACCTCATAGGTTAAACTGCAGTCTTAACATGTTTTCAGTTTAGTTCAGGGAAGAAAAAATATGCCTTAAATGAAGGATATTGTGTTTTAATGATCATATTAAGGAAAAGGTAACTTTCTTCTTTTATGGTAGTGTTTTTCTCTAAGGGTATTTGCCTTTTTCACATACAGTTGTATATGTCAGTTGTAAAAATGCTCATTCTTCTAGAGTCAAGTCAGTAGTCTAATGTCCTGTAGGTTTTGCTGCTACATACATGGAACTTATGGAAAAATTCTGTGTGAATTGGTAACTTGCATCTGAATCTTAAATATGTAATAGTTTCTCCACAGAATCATAATTGAAGAAATGCAATACATGTGGTTCTTTTTCACATGAAAAGTGTGGCATTGTTATCATTTATCATTTATTATGGTCTGTTTATATTAACACTAGGAGACCTCCTCTTCATCCCCATTTCAGCTGTAGGTCGTGGGGCCTTGCTCTGTAGATAATGTACAGCTACCCATTTGCCTCACTCTTGGCTGCCTCTTAAGTTCAGCTAACTCATTTCTGTGAGTCAGATTTCAAAATGCTGCCTTTCCTTTTCACCCCCCTTCTCTCCCTGCCACCTTTGAGTTACCATTACATGGCTGTATAAGCATGTAGTTAATCTTTTACCATAAAAAGGTTTGTCTCAATCTGTTGTTCCTTTCACTTGGAAGGAACTGCTCTTATAACGTGATTATGTATCCTTATTAAAAGGCCAGGTTTTAGAATATAACATTTGGAAAGTGATTTTTAATGTTCCTTTATAATATATATTCTATTAAGAATCATTGTTATGCCTGTTGCTAGCTAATTATTTTTTATTTGGCTCTGAGGTGTGAGGATTAGGAAGAAAACAGGAGAGTTTAAACCTCTTTGTAAGGCAGCTTTGATCATGACAGTTGAGAAAGGGAGAGAATGTTGTGTGTGCTTGCAAACTAAAGGGAGCAGGTCCGAGGATTAAGTTGACTTTCTCTCCAAAATAATTTCTAAATCTTTTTTTCACATATAAATGTAAATATAGAATTTAGTAAACTAATAAGTAAAAATGGTAATGTAATACTAGTTTAAAATAATTGTCTAAATGCCACAAAAGGTCAACATGTTCATTATAAGTTAAACTAGAGATGTATGATACAAAGTTAGTGTAATCATTTAGTATTGAATTCATTGTAATGAGACCTTTTCCACATTCACTTGGATTCATTGTTTAAATATATTAAAGAGTTACTCAGCTTATTAGAATTTCATAAAGGGTTCTGATTTCATGATGTGGACTTTGATAATATCTATTAACCCAGGCAAAAACTCTGGAATATGAGTGCTTAATATTTACCAGTCTTCAGCATATATGAAATTCTACTTCCCACGCTGGCAGTAAATTGTAAATTTAAGTAAATACCAGATTATCATACAAGAGAACTTAGTACTAAGTCTCCTTTTAAGCAACAAGCCAATGGTGGTACTTGGGGTGGAAAGCAGTGATCAAACAAGTATTGATCCATCTCTTTTTCTGCTCAGTAGCTTCTTTCCAAACTGTTTTCGGGGGGGGGGGGGGGGGAGGGGGGGGATAGCATATGTAGACCTAAGTGTAAATGTTTACACTTAATAGTATATAATCACATACATGAAATGCCATAATTTGAAGTGAGCATTTTTAGACTTTCCAACAAGATTGCAAATTAATGTGAGCATTACTTCATTTAACACTTAAAATATGGTTTCATTAAAAAAAATTAAAAACACTTCAACACTTCAAAAACTTAAGTCTCCACTTGGTTTTGAAAATTAGGCTTAATGTCACCATTGTTAAAAATTAGATATTTAGCCCCTACTATGTAAAATAGGTTACTTATCTGATGTAATTTTTGATGATAGGTAGGTTTTATACTTCACATTCTTTGTATGGCAGTTGCTGACACTTGCACTGTTCATAACCATTAATGATGATGAAGGGTCCTTCATGGGTGGGTTCATATTCATTATACGGTCCTTGGTCTGACATGTTTGACATATGGAGTCGTGTTTGGGATCGGAGCTGCCTGTGGTTCTGAATCATTGAGCACTGTCTAATTCTTCTTAAAGTGGGAGGACAGCACTTCCTGGAGATGAACACTATAAAAATAATAAAAAAGAAAGAAAACAATAAAGCCATTGTTCCTGTAATTACCCGCTGAGTGAAGATGGCATTGTCTGGTTCGGGAACGTGTTCCTCAGTAGTAACTGCTATGCCTGCAGTAGTTGGGGTTTCTTTGTCTCCCACATGGTAACTTGATGAGCTTATTCCTTTTGTATATTCAGTGGTTGGATCTCTGTAAGTTGTAGCCATGGCTGTGATGACAGTAGTTGATAAATTCCAGCAGAGCTGAAATCCATGGACTGCATCCAGTATATCCTCTCCTTGGGTGTGGTCAGGACTGTGGCATAAGATGGAATGCTCCCACCGACCTTGGAAATTGCCCAGCCAGGAGGCCAAAGCACATATTCTAGGGCTGCATTCCCAGAGATTGCCAGAGAGGCCAACAGTTGTGAGGGATCTCAGGGAATTTAAGATCTTGGAATCCAGGCTGTTTAACTTGTTGTTATCCATTAGGAGTATTTTAAGATTAGGCATTGTTTCAAACACTGTCAGATCGATGGCTTTGATTTCATTTCCAGTCAGGTCTAGCTTTTCTAAAGTGCCCCAGGTCCACTCCATCCCACATGTTAAGTTGCTGATTTTGTTCCATTGTAAGAAGAGCGTGTGCAGACTGCTTAGACGTAGGAAATGAGCAAAATTAATCTTCGTCAGCTGGTTGTGCTCTAGGTGAAGCTCTCTCAGTTTGATTAATCCTGCAAATCCATTTCGAGCCAAACTTCGCAAACGGTTTGTGCTCAAATCTAGAAACTCCAGACTACGACAGTCCCAGAACAGGCGTACTGGGATAGTCCGCAGGGAGTTGGACCGTAAATGCAAGGTCTGCAGCTTCCGAAGGCCATAGAAGAGCTCTGGGTGCAGAGATGACAGCTGATTAAAAGACAGGTCCAAATTTTGTAGATTAATCAGTTGGGTAAAAGTTGTATTTGGCAAGTAAAATATTTTGTTGGAACTTAAGATTAATTCCTTAAGTTTATATAATCCTTGAAAAGCATCTTCTTTTACTGTTGAAATTTGATTGTGGTCTAAGTGGAGCCAGGTAAGTTGACTGAAGCTGGCAAATTGATCCCTTTCCAGCTCTGTGATGTGATTGTGCCTCAGGGAAAGGCCCAGAGAGCCCTTGTCTGTGGTGTTTGGCACTGAGTGGAAGCCCTGAGAGTCGCAGTAGAAGAGCAGCTTCTCGCAGCGGCATTTAGGCGGACACGCCATTCCCAGGGCAGGCAGCATTTTTAAAACCATACTCATTGCATATATTGCTGCCAGCATAGGGGCCCCTAATGGCCACTTGAAATGTAAGCCTGCAGAATATAATTTAAGGAAAACAAGAAGATAGGATATTTTTAGCAGAATGTATGAGCTGTTAAAAAATGAACATAACAATATGGTGAAATATTTCACTGCATATAACTTAATTTTCATTTGCTGCAGAAAAATTAGCCTTGTTAATATGACTGGAACAAAACTTAAACCATTAAGAAGATAAAACATAGCCTGTTAACATCAATATATGCTTTTACCTAAACGTCAGGATCCAAAAATGTGACAGTGATCCAAAAATGTGAATTCAATGGTTTATTTTAAAAAGCATGATTTGTTGCTGTCTGTACAAAGCACATAAATGCATGGACTTACCCATTCTTCTGAGCACATTGGAGGCTGCATTCAGTCGCGGTTGTTAGACTCAACGCAGTGAGTCTGTTAAAGGCTCTAACATGCAGGAGCCTTTGACCAGTTTCCTGTTTTCTGTGTCCCAGGCTTTCTGAGTAAAATTGAATCCACCAGGGTGAATTGTGTTTTTTTTTTTTTTCCCCCTTAGGATATTCTTCTCAATAGCGTTGGTTTCATTTTTCTGACACTCTGTTCCCTTAAATCGCTTCTGAATATAAGTTATTAATTTCGCTCTCCTCTTATTGCTCAGCTGGTTAATCAAAGCATCAGTCTTTCCTTTCCGCAGCTGTTAGTTCTCTCGGTCTTAACTTGTTGATGGCAGATGGGCGGCTTGTTGCAGAGAAGAGATCCTGGAGCAGCATGAGTGCATTTACTGAAAAGCTTTTCCGAGAAACGGCACAAGAATGGATTTGCTTATGTGCTGCGACCACACAGAACTGTATATAGGCTGACGTCACCGGGTGACGTGTCTTTTGTTTGGGTTTTCCAGAAGCTTTACTGTTGTAAAGCACGATGCTTTGTAACAGTATCGGGTCGTTGTAAGACCCCCTATTACAATAAAGCCAGAAAGAAGAACTCCTGACTTAAAAACATGGTATTTCTTCAGTGTAGGAGCAGCAGTGAGGTTGTAATAAAGACTGCATTCAAGAAGACCCGTCTGAACAGTGAGTTGGGTTAGCAAAGTGATGGTTTTTAATGCCTGTGAGAGCCAGTGTTAGACTGCCGATTCTGCATAGAAAGATCATATAAATGGTCAGGAGCCTGCAGGATTTATGAAGTGCTGATCTAACGCCAGCCTATGCTAGTTATTGCCTGCTGCTCTGGTAGTTTGGGAAGCTACTCAATCACCTTGTTGTCATGCTTGGTTAAAACGGAAGTATGACTATGATTTGCTTTCAGGGTGTTGGTAAACTAGGTAAGTGGGGTTGGCTTCTTTGTCACTAAGAGCTTAACACCACAAACCAAGAATAAAGGGTGGAAAAGCTTGCAAAGCATTTGATTATTTTGTTCTTTGAGACTTTCAGAGAAACTCTAATTTAAAAAATTTCTCCTTCTCTGTCCTATTTTATAATAATGTTTTATCACAGGAGAAAAGGGTAGGTTGATACAGTCACTTAATACTGTTTGCCCTAAGCTTTAACAGTAAAGCTTTAGGAATTATTTAGGAAAAATAATAACAGCATGGCTGAATCTAACACAATCTCTTGTATTTACCTCAGAATCTTACCTACCCCTTCAACTGAAAGCCTCAGGTGATGCTGGGATTGGGGCATTGTGGTACTCAAATAAATAGAACATTTATTTTGCACACTTAATAGCTCCTCCTGGCACACTTAACAACTGACTTTAAATGTTTTAACTTGACCTAACTCTGTCTTCTTGCTGTTGAATAGTGTCATCACTTTTTAGAGCTTGGTTATGAATGTACAGCTCCAGGTTTAGTGTTGTGAAAGCTATTTTAGCATGAGTCAGGGTCATATTTTCAGACCTGACAAAGGTACGTCCTGTTACACATTTTACCTTACTGATTTGGCCTTCCATGCCAGTTTCTCTTATACCATTGGCACTTATCCTTAATGGGTCTTATCTCACACCTGAAGGCAGAAATCTCAAAACTACCCATGTCATCTGTGAAACATCATTGGCCTGTTGGCTTCCATGGCCTTCATCCTACGGACATGTCTAAAAAGTCATTGTTTTAAGGGGCATAGATTATGTGTTGGATTGTGGTACTGGAGTAAGAACTGGAAGACTTTCAAGGCCATTTCCTTGGGGCCCTGTGTAAAATTGTTGTGAAAATGCAGCAACTGCAGGTGTGTAGTTTTAGAAGTAGACCCCAAGATGGTATTAGAAGTATAAGTTTTGTTAGGGAAAATGCCTGGGAAGTACAAAGGAAGAGAGAAAACAGCAGGGATACTCTTGAGGGTTGGTAGAGTCTTCAGACCAGAGGGCAGGTCTGACATCTCTGAAAACAGTGGAGAAGTATACTAAATTGTATACGTACTTAGTGCTCTGTCTTAAAGCACTAGTTAAGTATACAATTTTACCTATATGTTCCCAAAAATTCTAGTTTAGCACTTCTTAGTTGGGATTCAGGAATCTGTATTTTAACAACTCCACCAGGTGATTCTCATCATGAGAGAAGTTTGGGAAACACTGCCCTAGGCCAAAGAGATGTCCTCAAACCAAAGTTGCTCATGAGTGGAACCCTATGTTCTTAGGAATGAGCCCACATTAGTACTCCTCTATCATTTTCCTGCTTCTGGTTAAGAAACAGGAGAATTCCTGTTAGACTTCAAGGATGCTCAAAACTAACCTTGAGCCTTTCCATAGTCTATCTCTCAATAAGCTAAAATTCTTAACCTGAGTTCATAGTCTAATGGAATTTTATAGCTTGTACATTTTTCTGTGAATGAGGTTTAATCAGATTTTTAGAGGGTCTGTGACCTTAGATTTAAAAATTACTGTTCTGCAGGAACTTGATCCCAAAACTTCCAGTGGGGGAATCTAATAAAGGTGGTCTCTTTAATTTACTTTTTTAAGGAAAAGAAGCTCTTGGGATACTGTAAATGTCTGCATTGAAGCCAGCCACCCTTTGATGAAAAGAATTTTTTTCAAAATTCTTTTTGAAAACGTTTTCCAGGCAGGAGGAACTGGATTAAATTCTTCCCTGAAGTAACCACTTTATATAGTTCCATGTGGAGAAAAGCATTAGAGTCATTGGGTTAGAACAGCCATGATTAGGAATGAGTTTTATGTGAAAATTTAGAAGGAATATAATCTCCTTCCTTTTAGACTCTTGGTTCTCCTTTCTGCTCTCTAGGTCATTTGGCCTACATCTTATATACTAAAAAATGGGAAATACTTAAATTATACTATCCCAGTACAGTTATTAGAGATTTATGGGCAACAAAAATTGCCCAGAGAAGCACCAATGGAATCACAGGTAATTATTTTTTATGCATGTGGAAAAGAGGGCAATAATATAGTATCACAGTACCCAGAGTGCACAATTCCTTCTAGGTCACCAGCTGTCTTGCTCACTTGCCCTCTCTGGATTCAAAAGATTCAGGCAGTGGAACTAAAGAAGGTAATAGTGCATGTCTTAAAATTGGTGGAATACATAGTTTCCATTGATGGAATTTTATAATATTATTTCTTTTAAAATTTATTTTTATTGTTTCAGAGAGGAATGGAGAGGGAAAGACAGGTAGAAACATTAATGATGAGAGAGAATCACTGATTGGCTGCCTCCTGCACACCCCCTTGGGGATCGAGCCCACAACCCAGGCATGTGCCCTTGACCGGAAACGAACCTGGGACCCTTTAGTCTGAAGTTAGACACTCTATCCATTGAGCCAAATCAGCTAGGGCTGGGATTTTGTATTATTATTATTTTTTTTTATCTTTACCTTTCTTTAGCTAAAAGAACTGAATAGAAACCCATGTTCTTCCTGAATTAAATTTTTTCTTGGTTTCATTTTAGAACAGCTTTATTCTTGCATACATATGTCTTTGAGTTAAAGTTGCAGTACAACCTCTGAAAGGTACTACTCATATCATCTGTGTAAATTTTCATTACTTTAGTTGTTCAAGGCAAAGGAGCAGTAAAATCTAACCTGACCATCTCTAAATGAGTTTAAGCAGATTAAGTGAGTCCAGTAGCAGGGCTTTCGTGGGTCCTCAATGTGAAAGTTTGTTTTTAATGTGTGTTGATTAGGGGGAATTATTTCTCTACTTAGAGAGCACATGTATGGAAATATACATGGAATCATTTATTCTTTTGTGGTAGAGATGGAGCTTTATTTTGCTTTATATTGAAAGATCAAATGGTTTGTTAATCATGCCCAACTCCAAAAATTGTCATATCCCACCCAACATCAGAGGTCTCACATAGAGGTGCTCTGGGAAAGTATGTTAAAATAAACCTTCTTGGCCCAGCTGTGTGGCTCAGTTGGTTGAGTGACATCCCATGCACCAAGAGGTTTCTGGTTTGATTCCAGGCTAGGGCACACACCTGGATTGCCAGATCAATCTCCCAATAGGAAGCATGGTGGAAGCAGCTGGTCAACATTTCTCATAGATGTTTTTATCTCTCTCTTCCTCTCCTTTCCTCTCTTTCTAAAAAATCAATAGAAATATATTTAAATCAACAAACCTTGTTGGGTTTTTGTCAAGTAACTGAGAGCATTGTCTCCATAAGCCAGGGGTGTGGAACCTTTTTTCTGCCAAGGACTATTTGGATATTTATAACATCATTTGCAGGCCACACAACATTATCCTGCTATACTTAAAAATTAGCCTGCTATACATTTCTGTAAAAAAGAAGGAACTCTTACCATTTGCAACAGCATGGATGGGCCTGGAGAACATTATGCTAAGTGAAATAAGCCAGTTGGAGAAAGATAAATATCACATGATCTCACTTACATGTGGGATATAATGAACAGCACATACTGATAAACAACAATAGATACAGAGACAAAAAGGGAAGAGTAAGAGATCAACCAAAGGACTTGTATGCATGCATATTAGCATAACCAATGGGACACTGTGGTGGTTGAGGCTTGTCCTAGGGCACATGTGTCAAACACAAGGCCCACGGGCCAAATCCGTCCCGCCAGGCCTTGCAATGTGGCCCGCACTGTGCTGTCATCACTGCACTCCACTGCGTTTCCATCACAATGACAGTTTATGACTGTTCAGTAAACCATTCGGCCCGCGATTTAGGCAGGATTTTAGATTTTGGCCCCTTCTCTGATTGAGTTCGACACCCCTATCCTAGGGGATAGGAGTAGCAGGAGGGAGCGGGGCTGTCGATTGGAGAAAAAGGAGATATATATATAGTACTTTAAATAATAAAAAAAAATAAGCCTACTGTAGTTGGTCAAACATTTAATTAACTCATGCCTAATGACTTGGCAGAACGAAACCAAAGACATGATTTCTCAGGTCTTATATTACCCACGGGCGAGACGTTCCCCACCTGAATGATAAGCCAAGCTTCCAGGTTTGATCCCCTATCAGGGTGCATATAAGAATCAACCAGTGAATGCATAAGTAAGTGGAACAACAAATCAGTGTTTCTCTCTCCCTTCCTTTCTCTAAAATTATCAATAACAATACCTTATTGCTGCCAGTTTTGATCATCATTTGAAAGATATTTTTGCATTTCAAAAGTGATATCTTTAGGGTGGAGGCCCTAGATTTTTTTTAAAAATATGATTTTATTGATTTTTTTTTTAGAGAAAGGGAAAAGGATAGAGAGTTAGAAACAACGAGAAAGAACCATAATCCATCGGCTGCCTCCTGCACACTCCTTACTGGGGATTGAATCTGAAACCTGGCATGTATTATACACTGACCAGGAATTAAACTGGTGACCTCTTGGTTCCTGGGTCAACACTCAACTACTGAGCCACACCAGCTGGATAGAGGCCCTAGATTTTATGGACCTGAGTACATTGCTTGCTAAGAACCTTTTGTGATTCCTAGTTGCCAACTTCCTACTTGGACCTATATAGTATCAAGACCTGTATTAGAGGA